AAGCAAAAACGAAAGGGTTTAGCTCTGAAAACATATTAAGTAGGTGGAAACGAAAAGAACCAAAGTGTTATGTACATGTTTTGAAATGAAAGGGAAGATTATTCACATACTATGCCATGAAACGAAAGGTTCAAGGGTAAGAGTGACTTACCTTGCTGGAAGCTTTGAATGGGTGTGGGACCTTGAGTGGAGGCCCAGGGTTCTGGATTTGAAAGAGGGGGCCAACAGTTGCGCTTGGAATGCTGGATTCGAAGGAAGGAAAGAAACAAGTCTTATGTTTCTTTCCAAACTGGATTCAAAGGATACTGAAAAGTATTTGTTCTTCAGAATCGAAGGAAGTAAGTGTTTGGGATTCTGGGTTTTTATTTCTCAAGTGTTGATGAACTTGAGAGTTTTGTTCTGTTTGAGAAAATTTGGGAGATTCGTTCCTCTGGTCCAAAGATCCTCCTTAAACATGTGTTGGAGCCTCTTATTTATAGGCAAAGTTGGCTGAAGCTTTTGGAGGGAAAACAAAATAATTTGAACAATTTGAGTAAACTGCTCTTTGCAGCCTCCGAGGGACAGTGCTTTATGCTATTTCGGTGCAAGAATGGGGTAGTGTTTCAGGACTGCTATGCAGCAGTTTTGGCTAGTGTACCATGTCTGAACTTGGCAGCAAGCATATTTGAATATTTTATCCTTTCATTTTGACCCTCCTTCGACCAGATTCTTCTTCCAACACATTGTTTGACTTTCCTCCAACAAGTGTCCTTCGAACGAATCACCTTTGTGCATCGTTTGAAGGGGCCAAATGTGTCTTAAGGTGGCTCATGTCTAATCGAAAGCTTGCACGCCAGGGGGTACATGTGGTCAAACGAAAGACAAAATGTTCATATTCGAAAGAGACAAATAGGGAGCAAGAGGTGCAAATCGAAGGATGTTAAAAGAGAGCCTTTTGCCTTGGAAATGAAATAGATTACAAGAGGCTCTTTTCCTTGTGAATCCAAACCAAACCGTGTCAGAGGCCCATGCCCAGTCGAAGGATGCAAGCCAAGCTTGTGTCGGAAGAGGTCAAAAGGTCAATCGAAGGATACAAACCAAGCTTGTGTCGAAAGAGGCAAAAAGGCCAATCGAAGGATGCAAGCCAAGCTTGTGTTAAAAGAGGTCAAAAGGCCAATCGAAGGATGCAAGCCAAGCTTGTGTCGAAAGAGGCCAAAAGGCCAATCGAAAGAGCTGAAACGAAGAACACTTGTATTTCTCTAATTTTTGTCAAAATAATATTTTTATCTGTTTTCTCCCTTTTTGACAGTTTCCTTTTAATTTTGGTACTGGAAAATTCCAAAGTACTTGTGCAAGCTTGAACCTTGAGAATCCTTGTAAGAAAGGCCTTGAGAATTGAGAGGGAAAATTTTGGGGTACAACAACCTGCATACGACGGTGAAATAGTATGGCACAATGACCAAATGCGAAGGAATAAAAAGGGTCGTCCCAAAAGTAAGCGCATCACAACTGAAATGGACTCCCTTGACAAGCTGAAAAGAAAGTGTGGTTTATGTCATCAGGTCGGACACAATCGCAAAAATTGTCTGAATCGGGCTACTGGCCTAACCACATAAAAATTGTATTACAAAACATCTCTCCTTTATTAAGTTGTAAACATTAGGGTTTTTCATTAACAGTATTTGTTACAATAAACATTGTGCGAACAAGAAATAAAACACGATAAACCGTCTACGAAATTACAATCATTAAAACAATTTCATCTGACCCATGCATCATCAACATTACGTCACTGTCTGTTTTGACTTCCTCCAACCAAAAATTAGGTCTTACTGTCGCAAGTGAGGTTGTTGTTCGTCTTCGCTGGATCCTTCTAATTTGTTCCCCCTCCTCGATGTCTCCCTCTAGCCATCGCATCAACTCCCTCTTCAGACGCTCAATGGAGTGAATGTGCCAGAATTTCATTTTCATCGGAGGTTTTGTGGCGGAGAAAATAATGTAACCATCTCTGGTAAAAATCATGGGCGATGTCATGACGCAAATAACAGAGAAAAAATAAGAGAGCAGTACGAGAAAGTGTGAGGAATGACGGAGAAACAGACATATTATTTATAAAAATTGCATTTTGCCCTAGGAGCCAAGTGAGATGGCGTCTCCTCTCACTTTTAAAGTGCATGCGTCATCTCACTTGGCTAAAAGAGAGAGGAGGCGCCAAGTGGGATGGCGCCAAGGGCAAAATGGAGAGTGGATGCGCCAACTGAGTTGGCTCCTCCCTTATGGGGTTTTCTGAAACATGGTTATTTACGTAATTTTCTTCGAAACATGGTTATTTGCAAAAAAATTTAATATCTGATTATTCCAAAAAAAATTCACAAAATACCCTTATATTGGTAAATGGCAGAATAAGAGGCAAGGAGAGAATAGCTTTTTTTAATTATATATAGATTTTCTTATATGGTGGATGGAATTAAAATCTTATACAAAAAAATTAAAATTATTTTTGATCTAATTATATTTTTCTTTTTTTACCCGACATCTATTTTGTTTTTTTCTTCTTCTTTTTAATGTTTACTATATTCTTTATTTTTAAGTGATAAATGTTAGTACTTATGTTATAGAATAATGATGGTGGATTTTACTTAATTGAGATATTCATTATTTTATTTTTATATTTACTTTTATATTCATATTTATATTTGATTTAGTAAAGTCTTTATGTCTTTAAAAAATGGTCAAAATCCTATCAAAAAGTTAAATGAAGAGTTTGCCGAGAGGAAGGTTAAAATCAAAATTTTATAGAAAGTCGTTCAAAGAGATGTCACTCTCAAAATTAAGTTGGAAGTAGATTAGCAGGGTCGGTCCTGTGTGTCAAAGGTGAGCCACCGCATAGGGTTTTATATATATATATATATATATATATATATATATATATATATATATATATATATATATATATATATATATATATATATATATATATATATATATATATATATATATATATATATATATATATATATATATATATATATATATATATATATATATATATATATATTGTTTACTTTGTCAAAATATTTTTAAAGCATTTTTATTTTAAGAAAATATATGTTTACTTTAATTTATTATAAAAGATAATTTTTTAAATGGACAATGGTGATGAGAAAAAGTTATTAAAGATGATTCTTTCATAAAAATAATGAAAACAAATTTTTTTAACTTTTTATTATTTTCAAAAACAAAAGCACACAGTGATTCCCTCTACAAAAAATAATATTTCTTTTGTTATTAAGTAAAATTATTGTGAATTTTAGAAAATAAAAATAAAAAACATTTTCACATGATAAATTGAGTCTTAGTTTATTAAAACTATATTTAATGAAAATAACTATTACTTATAAGTTAGCTCATAACTTATATTTTATTATTGATGACAAATCATTGATAGCTTATATCTTATATTAAATGTGATGAGTGATTACTGATAATCAATAAATTAATTAAATTATTTAATAAAATTATCGATTTAAAAAGATATTTCTTAATTAATAACAAAATTTATATTTAAGATACTTAAAAGTTAGTAATTTAAATTTATTAGCGTAAAAATATATTTTATATATTGTATTTTAATGAATATTTAGATATAACAAATATTTTTATCATTTAAAAAATACATATTCATTTAAATAGTCTATCACAATATCTTTTAACTAGATAGAAAGAAAGTCAAATCTAGTAAAAAAAAAAAAAAAGAAACAAAGGCAAATCATTTTTAAAAACAAAATTTATTTCGAAAACAGATATTTATTAAGAGGTGTTTGCAATGTAGTTTGAACGGTTTTTTTGTTAAAAATTATTCGAATCGCAAGAGAAAAATACGATTTAACTTAGTTCGTTTGACTTTTAAAAACCAAATCATACCAAACTAATCTAATATAATTTCAATTGGTTCGATTTTTTTACAAAAAATTTATTGAATCAACATATAAAGGACAATGTGATTTTTTGTTTAATCATTCATACATTATTCTAAAATAGGTTTATGGATGAATATGAATTGCGTCTTATAATTTTATCTTAGGCCTAAAGAATAATATAAATGAAATTACATTTTTAAATAAATTTTAAATACTATATTATATACTTATAAATAAGCACATACACATGACTATGATGATACTACAATTTTTTTTATCATCAATATTTTATATATAACGAGATACAAAATTAATTTAAATTAAATTTTTTCTTTAATCTTATCCATATCAACATCAACAAATTAAAAATGAAAACAAAAATAAATTTATAACAATTTCATTTCAAATAAAAATAATCTTAATATTTATAAATAAATAATATTTAATTTTTTTAATATATAAATTAAAATAAATATCATAATATAAAGAAAGAATATTGTAAATATGCACATAATACTTGTTAATTTCTCAAAAATATTAAAAATATATAATAATTTATAAAATTTTATAAAATATAAATCACAAATCAAATGAATCTTGTAATTTTGTTAAAAAGTAATCTAAACACATTTGAATTAAATACAATTTTTTATAATTTTTAATTTGATTTGGTTTAATTAACAAATTTTTTGTTGGTAAAGGTAAGTATTTGTTTTGATGGATCATTTTGACTAATGTTAAGAAATAAGGGTGGTAAAAACCCCCTCCTTTTAACACACCATTTTGAGAACTTCTATCCTCTAAATTAAATTACATTGAACTAAAAAAATTTAAATAATTTAAATAATTAATAGCTATTCAAATTTAAATTTATTATCAGAGAGTCTCCTTAATTGATAAAACATGAATATGTCAAAATCAATAAATGATATGACAATATATATAATTCAATAAGGGTATACAACTTCTTTTACGTTGAAAGTGTGCAACAAAATGAATCTCTAAACAAAAATTTGATTTACACTAAACAACGTACCCTGAACATTGAAATAACCCCCAACATATAAAACATCTTTAAAAAAAAACACAAATCATGTTCTTTTAAACAAGAGAATCCTTGCTTATTTTCTTTGAATCATGACCCTCCTTTTCTTGATTACCATTCAAAACTGGTGAATTATCTTTGTCTTTAACCTGAAAATAATCAAAGACAAAATAACAAAATCTTATTAACATGTCTAGGACAAAGAAACAATGAGAGAAAAATAGTGAAAAAAATACCTGAGATGAGAGAGGAGGATCAACTAAGAGTTTCTTTTTGCTTTCTTGAGTGCAGAAATAAGAATACAATCCCATTCCAAAAACTGCTACTAGTATTCCAATAATGTTCCTCTCAGTGAAAGGGTCATGGAGCAATGTGTAGCCAAATCCTAGGACAAGACAAGTTTTGAGGTGGCCCAAAACTTGATATGTTACTGGAGATGTTTTTCCTATTACTAGAAAAGTGCTGAAGTTCACAGAAACAGCTATCACACATGACATGACGATGAATGTCTGAAAAAAACAATAGTAACACTATTAATTATATAATTATATTCTCTTTTTTTTTTTTCGTCTGACACGAAGTGGTAGTAACCACTAGAAACTCATAACCGTGAGTATCAGGATTCAAACTCTTGTGATGGCGTCCAACCTAATAATATTGACTTCTGCCAGTTGAATTAGGATTTGCGGAGTTATATATATAATCATATTGAGGATTGATGATTTGAGATTTTGATAGTACTTACCAAAACTATAGGAGAATATTTGTATGCAAAGACATTTTGCTTGGTTAGCATCTGATCCACAAAAGGGCCTGAAACAAACAGAATTGCTGCTTGGAATGGAGCAGACTGGTATAGAAGTTGTGTGGAAGTCACATTAAGTTTCTTCTGGATTGTATTGGTAAGCTGAATTGTTCAATAAGTTAAGAATCAACGACAGATAAAATCAAATAAGTCAATTCAAACAGACGCTAATTCAGGTGAGTATAAAGAGAAAATAGTAAAGGATACAATTTGGCCAACACATGTTGTTATGATAGCTAGAAGTGAAAGAATGGTTCCAAGAAAATTGAGTTGAAGATCTGTGATAGAGGCAATGCCAACTCCAACAAGTAAAAAGAATAGAGACAGTTTTATTTTCCGGCTGCACAAAGTCGCAAAATAATTCACAATTAGTTACCAATTAAGCAAGAACATGATCATGTTTAATTTCAGTATCATAAATTTATTTACCTGAATTGCTTCTTTAGGAAAATAGTTTCTAGCATAACTGTGAATGGTATGATTGCGAGTTTCGTCATCTACAAAAGAAACATCAAAATCAATTCATCAAACGAGTAGTTCGAAATGCATAATAATAAACCGATAGAAGATCGAATCGGCGACTAAACCTGGTAGAATCCAATTGAATTGAAACCAAGACTCAAGTTGAGAAATCCAATGGAGACACCATTTAGAATACCAAAAAGCATGACTGTTTTCATGTCAACAGGTTTGGCCTCAAACAGATTCAAGCGTTGAGCAACATGAAGAGTGCAAAAAGTAACCATCAAATGCCAACTTGTAAGTGTTGTAGCTGCTCCAAATTAATGAAACAAAAACAAAGTTAAATGGAGACAAAATGATAATAGACACACAACCCTGAGTATCAGGGTTCGAATTCCGGTAATAATGTCAAATCTAACAATATCGACTTTACCAAATGGAAATCCAAGGTTGCTCATTAAGGCTTTGTTGCATATGACAATTGAGACAGAAGAAGCCACGGAGAGAAATAGTGCACCAATAACTCCCAATTGAATTTTTGACATCTCTCCCATCTTTGCCACCAATATTTCTTTCAAGATTCTTCTATAGACAAAAATTTACAATTAATCAACACATAATGTGCAAACAATACTAATCAATATAGTTTGATATCATAACATAACAATTAACAACAAGTACCTTAATTTGAAGAAATGAGAACTAAAACTCCAAAAGATCACAACTCAAGTTATGGAACAAAATTTTTTGGTGTGGCCTTTTTATTTTTGATGTAGAACAAGTTCAATTCATAGAGTTTATGTTTGTTGGTTTAGTTTGGTCAAGTTAACGGCCAATTGAAGCAAAAAAAACAAGACCATAATATATTAACATAAAACATAAGGACATTACATATTCATGGCTATTTTTTAATGTCTAAAGTATAGAGCAAACAAAATAGATAGATGAGATGTTAAAATCATGAGTTTGGTTTAGTTTGGTCCAATTAGATGCATCATACTCTATTAAAGATTTTTCTACCAAACACTTTTTGTAACATGTAGCTTTCAAAAAATTTGAGTCTTGAAACACAAGTTTGGAAGGTGAGTGAAACTAACACTTATTTTCTAAACAAAGTTTCTCCAACCTCAAGCAAACACTTCTCAACCCAATTCAGCATAAACTTCAATCTCACTCCTAATTCATGAATGAGACTTTGATTTTAAAAAATTAAACCAATAACTTTTTTGAATAATTTTGTTTATCTATGTGCTCAAGAGAGATATACACAATGATTTAGAAAAATATAAACAATGAATAGTTAAACACATACCTGTGGATATTGGTAGCTCTCACCATGCCAAGCTTAAAATGAATCTTACATCGTGCAAAGGTTCTTTTATATTATTTATTTTAGGTATATTTGGAAGGGTCAAAATTGATTTATTTTTGAGATACTTTTATTACTCTAACACTTTCACACATATTAAAAAATTATAATAAATAGAAAAGATAATAATACTTTTATTAAATTCTTTTTATTATTTATTGATGTATTTAAATTAATATTAATGTTAAGTGAGAAAACAGTAAAATAAAAATATCTATTACGAAATACAATTGAAATATTAAAAATAAAACTACATTGATAGTTAAATGATAAATATTTTAAAATAATTTTTTTTAAATGTGATAATTATTTTGAGAGAGAATATAAATATAATTAAAAAAAAATCATTTTCTATATTTTTTATTCCTTTGAATAAATATTTTGTTTCTACTACTCCTATGCTTTTTTTTAGTATTTGCAAAAAATATTATTATTTACTTATCATTTTTTGGGTTCAATGTAAAATTAATTATTGCTTCTAATATTATACTATTTAATTATTCATTCTAGAAAAATAGATGATAAATATGATTATATAAAAAATAATAATTATACAAAAGAAATAATAAATCTATTAATTATTTTGATATGTGGAAGACCGTCTCCAAATTTTTTTTTTTTGTTGAATCGAAAAAGACCACAATGAGAGGCAAAGCTTTCTTTTATAAAAAGTTAACTTGAACATGCTTTGAATAAAGTTAAGTTTGAATCGAGAAAATAAATCTCTTATCTCAATCTATTCTAGTGCTATTCAGTCCAAAATTTGTTTTTTTATTACGAAATTCAACCTAGCATTAGAAAAATAATATTTATCACTACCTTTTCTTTTGAATATAAGATTCATATTTCTTTTTCTCTTTTTATAATATCTCTTTTAAATTGTTAAGTATATTAGTTAATTTTTTATCAACAATTATCCTATTTATATTTTTTTAATCATTTATAAGAAATATTCCATGAAAATATTAATTAATTATCTCTAATAAAAATAAATTTATAAAACCATGGCAATCATTAATTAAACTAATATAACAGTTAACTTTTTAATTTTTATATTTACATAGAAATTATATCATCTCTTGTATAATGATTTTTTTTTTTTTACTAATACGTGCAAACATATTCTGTTAAGAAAATTCAATCGATAGTTATACAAAAATATCATATATAAGAATACGGGTTCAAACCTATAATTTTCCCCTTAATTTGTGTTATCAGATTAGTGAGAATATTGGATCACTAGATCATTGTTCGAACTGAAGACTAAACTGAATTAAATCGAATAATTATGTTGAATCAACCGATCTCTATAATAAAATTATATATTTATTAAATCGGTCGAACCTGATGACTCGGTGTTTAAAAAATATCACAACACCTACAAAATTATAAATTTTCAAAATATCATTCACATGTTTCTTTAAATTTATATTCTAAATATAATCATCACTCATAACAAAATAATACAAAAATTTAAATTTAAATAAATTTTAAACTAAATCTAATTACAAACAAAAGAAATTCTTTTAAAATAAGTTTTAAATAAAGTCTAATTATATTTTTATTTTAATTTGTTTTTTAAAATTATCAAAACAATATGTTATATCCTAAAAAAAACGCATTTGAACTTGTCTATTTACTAAGTTTTTTTCTTCAATTTTGACCGGTTTTATCCGAATCTCATCAGTTTAATAGCATATTCAATTCAACAATCAAATCAGATTGATAATCTATTTAGTATTTTATTTGACCGATCGATTAATCTGATTTTTAAAACACTGACTAAATTACTTGGAAAAAAAACATACAAACGACAATTAAAATGAAATAATGATAATTTAATAAATAAAATATTTTAAAATGTAAAATAAAAAATATTAGTCAGACTCATTTAATTAAAAAAATAGAATTATTGAGTTGGAGTGGATAAGTGTTTATTAAATACTTTTATTTAAAATATTACTAAGTAGGAGTAATATATACATTGGATACTATTATACGGATGCTTATTAGATATGTAAATGCTTTAAAGAAAATTAAAATGACAAATAAAAAACAATAAAGAGCGCCTATTTAATACTTTTATTTGAAACAACAAAAATACTTTAATTTTTAAACAAAAAGTCTTATATTTAATAGTTGATTTTTTATGGTCTCCTATAGGGGTGTTCAGATCCAATCCGATCTAAAAAAAATCCAAAAACCGAACTGAAAAAACCGAAATCCAAAAAAAAAAAGATTTTTTTTTATGTATTTGGATCACCATGTAGCATAATCGATCGGTTCGGTTTGGTTTACGGTTGGCTTCATGAGAATGGAACCAGTCCAAACCGAACCGGTATTACTTCTATTTACTTGCCATTTATTATTTAAAATAAATTAATATCGAATCATTTATAGCCATCCTCCCAAATTAATTATGTTAGCCAGCACTAATTTCTCTCGAGAATCTCAATCATTTCTATAATTTCCCTATTCAGATTCTAAATTATCTTAAAATTAAATACAATGAATGCTATTCATTGTTGTAACCGCAAGAAATTCAATATCGCAAGCAAGAAATTCAATAATGCTAAATAGACATTCATCTCAATTAGTTTTCTAAATTATACTATCCGCATTCTAAAAGAATTGGGTAGAATTGTGAAGCTGGAGTGGAGCTATTGCAGGATAATTAGAAAATTTGTTATTTGACTATCAATTATGTTGCAGACTCTGATTTTGAAACTATCAATTATGCTGTCATATATAAAGCAAATCTTCTCTCTATATATAATGGAGTTTGTCATATTATTATTATATATTCCTTGTGATGCAACTTTCGCATGTCCACTGTTATTGATATTTTTCTTGAAGTTTTATTATTATATTCGCTTTAATATAGCTTTGGAATCTTCATTTGTTCACTGTTTTATATAGTTGTCATATATTTAATTTATAATACAAATCTCCATATAAGAACTAAGCATATCTCCATATATATTATATATTATAGCCATGTCTATTTCGTTGGGATAGATATTATACATATATTATAATGAAACTTTGCAATAATGACATCAAATAGCCCTATGAACATAGCAATTAGATATTGTCTCAGTAGACGTTGGTGGCATAATTGTAACTGGTATTGAAATATATTCTTTTTAAATTTCTAAATAGTGTTGGTTTAAAAACCGAATAAAACCGATTCAACCGAACCGAAGTAAACCGTATAAATTGGATTGGATTGGATTGGATTGGATTTTTGTTGTTGTCATCCAAAAAACGAACCAAACTGTATGCTTTATATATTTTTGGATCGGGTGATATTTTGTCTCAAAACCGATCCAAACTGGACCACGAACACCCCTAGTCTCCTATAATAAAATAGTCTCATTTACATGAGTGATATTGAAATCTATGAAGTGATATTCTGTTACCGCGTCAATAAAAATATTTAAAAATTTATAATTTTATTTTCTTAAGTTTTTTCTTTTTATAAAGTTCTGTAGGGAGGGAAGTTGAACCTCAATCATCAACTTCAATGCAACAACATCTTTAACACTCTTTACAACCTAGGGCACACAATCATTACCTTTCTCTCAGCTCTGTGAAACTCTCTCCTCCCTCACCTTCACCCCATTCTCTGAACTACTTCACCTTCCTCATCTTCAACACAACATCTGCAAATCGAAGCTCCACTATTAATTCTCGTTCTCAACACAACTACTCGAATATTGCACAAACAAGATGCATACAAAGCATCACACACAAAAGAAATTTTGTAGAAGAAGAAGAAGTGGAAAGAAGAATAAAAATGGGATTCAAAGCAAGGAATTGAAGGATTATGCATACCCGAGCCTCTGAAGATTATTCTTTGGTTTTCTCTCATTATCACTGTTGTTGAAGAAGCACCGAACTTTCTCCGGTAGGTAAGCACAAATCTTCCCTATTCTTCATCTTTTCGCATCAAGTTTGTTACCAAAATGAAGCTTAAGACTCCATGATTACTTCCCCTAAGATCTCTAGCTTAGATCCGTGGCCGTTGCAATTTAATTTTGCTTTTAGATGTGTTAGGGTTTCGGTCTCAATTAGATTTAGGGGATGTGAGGATGATTTGGTGAAAGCGAAGGTTTGGATCCACGAAGAAGAGAGAAAGACGAGATGATTGATGTGCATCTGTAGCTACCGAGCAATGAGGCA